AAAAAAAAAAAGGGGTATGATGGACTTATGGGTCTTGGAAGATGGTGGAAAATGGTCGAAGAAATCTCTGGTTTTGCAGCCTTGTCAGATGCATTTACTCGATAAAATCATTAATGTGTTGGTGGAAAGTACAACTCAAAACGGTGAGGTTGTCTTGACACCTATACCGGTGTATTCCCTTAATTACATTCTCTATTATGATCTGCAAAAGAATGATTTGAGAAAGGTTGAAATCATCAGAAGAATACCGGACGACGAGTTTATTCAGGCGTACATTAATTTGTGTCTTATAGATAAGATTGAAAGCATCATGCACTTGGATACTTGAAAGCCATTACTTGTTTCAAGCTAAGATTATCATTATCTAATTGTTTTTACCTTTAATATCACATTTAAACTATTTCTTTTAATAGTTTAGTTTTACTTGTATTACAAAAATAGAGTCGTTAAATATAGATGGATTTTTGGAAAATGTTGATGATTCATGACTTATAGAATTAAGCCAACATTGGGGTATTCTATTTGATTCGACCAAAAAAAAAAAAGAGATATGTTCATTTTGCACCCAAATATAAGGCACTCTTGGGATTCCTCTAGTGCTAAAAAGTTATGGATCACTGTGATTGATCGGTTGTTGCTGCAACAAGCAAACGAACAATCGTTGGTTGCAGTCGGTCGACACAGTCGCCAACGATTACCAAACGAATAAGAGCTACACTAGCATGAGGAAATTACCTCTATAAGAGTGCTAGTGTGGAGTCTCTGAGCTCTGCGTTCCTGGTCTATCTTAGTGCAAAGAAAGTTTCGAGCTTGTTACCAGGCTTATTCTGATGGTTGCTTTGCTTAGTTCATGGCCTTTGATTGGCATAAGCACGAATGACTAGTTTACTGATTTAAAGAAATGAGATCCATGTACGTGCTTATGCAAATCAAAGGAATAAATAAATGACTAGTTCACTTGCTCCCACCTCCAATTTGCATGTGAATTCACTTGCTTGGGACCTAATAGTTCTAATTTTCGACAAGATTGATAATGTTATAAATTGGAGGATAGTTAAGCTAGTGGATAAGAGAAGTTAATGCAAAAATGGCAGACCAGATGGTTTATTTGTAGGATGACGCACGTATATATTGCAATGCCTTTGAGATCTTACTAGATCTCAAATTAACAATTATCCAAAGAAAAACCAAGGAGCTCAACAATAAAATTAAGAATATATATATATATGATTTAATCAATAAATGAGACCGTTATGAATAATGAAGTTTTAATCAAGTTTTAATAAAGTTCCATCATTATACGTAGAGAGGTGTAACCTAGTTATATCTTACACGTATCGTTTTGTTTGATTTGGATACCATGGTCAACTACAATTTTTAAGGTAACTTTATTTGATTTGACTATATTAATCAACCATTTAACGAGAGATCTTCTTTAGATAATTTTATTTGGTTTGACTATATTGGTCAACCATTCAACCAAAAATCTCATTAATCCATACAAAGATTATTTAACTAAAAGAGAATTGGCTTTCACACAATCTGTATATTATATACAGATTGATGTATTTATTTTTCCGATCTTGTATCTTAAATAAATGAATTATCTTGTATTTTTTTATGTTAGTTATTGCTATATCTTTTGAGTTAAATAAAGCTTGTGTTAAAAAACCGTGTAGTAATTCAAAACCAACTCAGTCCAGGTCAAATTCTCGAATTTCATTGTCATTCTACTAAAGACGATCTTGGCATGAAAAAATTAAGTTTCAATGCAACGCCGTACATCATTGAATTCTATGATGAAGTAATCAGTCTAACAAGATGTGTATGTTTTCTTAGAAAATGGTCTAAAATGGAGTATTCTTATGCTGTTGAAGTATAGAAAGCAGGACAAAGACTTATTCCTGCATGTAGGCAGCTACGTGTATGGATAGCAAAAGAAGATAGAATATATTTTACAAGAAAAATAAGTGAACCGCCGTTATTGACACTACGATGGAATAAAGGATAATGAAATTTTCTTTTTCTTAAAACTTATCCAATGTTTAAGTATTTTTTTTTATGTTTTATTAACTAAGCCATAAGGGCTAAGTGGCAATCTAGTTTTGTTATAATATATAACAAGATATCACAATAAAATATGAGTTTATTTAATATTTATTTTATATTTTTTCAATAATATCTATGTTATATGATATAAATGTTATAAATAATAAAATAATGTCTATTATTTATACAAAAGAACTACATTTCCATATGGATTTTTTCACAAGAAACTATTTTCTTTGTCAGCCCTTTAACTTTTTATATATTGTCATCCACTAATTTTTCTAACAAAAAGACTTACAACTATTAAAATGGTGAAATACATAGTGAATTTAGAAGATGAGAG